CCTTAATAGTATTAAATATTATTTAAAAACCAGCATGATACATACATAATATAAATTACAGAATAAAACTGTACGAAATATTTCGGTGTAATGTTGTCAACCTCAGCCTGTTACTAGTGTCAACATGTTAGTTGTTACCAGAGGTGAGCAGTAGCGCGCTACATGTAGCGGCCGCTACATTTTCGGTAGCGGCGCTACATTTAAGCAATTGTAGCGGTAGCGCCCGCTACATTTAGAGCATGTAGCGGTAGCTGCCGCTACATTTTAAAGTAGCGCTACCCAGCTCTGTAGGAACGTATGATGGTAAGCCAAAGTTTACACCACATCAATAATTGATTCGTCTCGTTATGTCTCGTTAAAATAGCTATAAATTCCGGGAAATTTTAAGGTACCTATTTTAATCGGGATGTCTCGTCTCGGTATCGTCCCGGAATTCCTACGGAGGGCTGAAAATTGTCCCGTTTTTATTGCAAACCGGGACAGAGCCTGTTGTCTCGTCTCGTCTTGGATTAAAAAAAAATACCAAACGCAGGAGTCTAGATACATTTAAGTTGAGTACCGGTATTAAGTTAAGTTAGTTTAATAATTAAGTTAACCAGTACACAAACCATATTTGGGCACAACCAATCATAGCTTTTAAGGATAACATCACAATCCCATTAACCAATCACACATGGAATCCAGGAAATGGGATGACATCACACAGGGTTTCAGGGTTTGTACTGTCATGGAAAACCTGGAAAGCCATGGAATTTGATTTTTCATTTTCCAGGCCTGGAAAGTCATTGAATTTCATTTCAGGTTATGGAAAGTCATGGAATTTGCAAATAAAAGAAGAAAAAGTTTTTCTGTGCTGTCTGTGTTTATTGTTTGTTCAGTCTCTTGTTTCCTGTTTTCTGATTGGAGTACCAATCACATGAGCTTGGTCACCAAGCTCAGTTGCATTTGACAACTTTTTTATGTCGCAGCGTCCCATCTTCATCATGCAATTTCTACATCACCATGCCTGGAAAGTGTAAATTTCTTGACTTGTAGTTAAGAATAGAAGCTTATTGTGACTGGCTTGCTTGCCATCCAAAGCATGAAGGTATGGCAATATGTACATTGTGCTCAAAATAGTTTGATGTGTCAAATATGGGGAAGCAGCTTTGAAAAGCCATGCCAAAGGCAGCAAACACACCATGTTAGCTAAGGAACCCAGTGAAGAGATAAGCAAAGCACAAACTCCTGATTGACTGGACACTTTTTGCCAGGCCATTCTGTCAAAGAGCATCTACAAGAAGCTCTGGAATGTAGTGCAGATGCTCTTGCTCCTGTCTCATGGCCAAGCCACGGTTGAAAGAGGGTTTTCATTCAACAAGGAAATCATGACACACAATATGAAAGAACAAACAGTGGTTGCCCTGCATGCTGTGGTTGATCATGTTGCACATGTTGGTCGCCTGGACAAGATGACCATCACCAAGAAGATGCTGCTTGCAGCTGACAGTGCCAAAACAGCCTACAATAATTATTTGGCAGAAGAGAAAGAGCTGAATGCGAAGGCCCAGAAAACCCAGGAGAGGAAGGCTCTGTTGGATGAGCTGATGAACTGAAGAAAAAGAAAAGGCGTATGGAGGAGGGCATCAAGGCGCTTGCACAATTAGCAGATGAATATGCAGAAGCAATGGAGAGAAAGGGGAATTTGAAAATTATCGAAAAGTTCAAGGCCATGAGGCAATTGTTGAAAACAGAACAACGGGAGCTAGACACTCTTGAACTGAATATTAAAGAGAAAGTTGGTGAAATAGCTGCCAGTTGAATGTTAGGGTAGTGGTTTTGAAAAGTGTTCTGAAATGTATTGGCCAGACATTATCATGTACAATCTTTTGTGCATTACTCAATATTTGTTGAGATTTGACACTATTTAATTCATAATAATGAAAGTGTGGGCTTGGTTTTCATATTTGTGTCATTTCTGTTCCTCTGTCTGCCTGCTCTACGCATTTACATGTTTGCTATTTATCAACTGTAGAGGATGATAGAATATGCACGGTTAATCTTTCAGTAATGCTAAATCTGTTGAATATGAGTCTTGGAAAATTATATTGATGGTCATGGAAAGTCTTGGAATTTTTTTTACTGGCGAGGTCAGCACTTTCAGGCTGTCGTCCGTTTACTGACGTGTGGATAATATGGATTACTGGATTCTCTTGTAAATTTGTGGATTCTAATAATATAAAAATACATCCATATTATTAATTATCCATATTTAAGTAATAATTATAATATTGATTCTCATATGGATGTCCTGATGTCACGTTAATGCTGCATCATATGGATGTCCAGGGGCCATACTTTCAAAACTCGCTAAGTGAACGTAAGTACTTACGCTCTATTTTCTTGTCTATGATTGGTGGATTTTGCTTGAAAGGCCACTGTGACCTCAGGTCAGGTACACGACCCTGTGACCTCAGTTCAGTTACACAATCCTATGGCCTCAGGTCAGTTACACGACCCTGTGACCTCAGGTCAGTTACACGACCCTGTGACCTCAGGTCAGTTACACGAGCCTGTGACCTCAGGTCAGTTACACGGCCATGTGACCTCAGGTCAGTTACACAATCCTGTGGCCTCAGGTCAGTTACACGACCCTGTGACCTCAGGTCAGTTACACGACCCTGTGACCTCAGGTCATGATGGTTTGTCTGCGTAAGTGTCTGTGGGTGCGTAGGATGCTTGGAGACCTTAATTATACAATGTGATTCACCAAAACTTCCTGTTTAGTATTTCGCGTCAAGCACTCGGGTGTTGCAGGGAAAGGGTGAGGAGTGTTTCATATGGAAGGCAAGGGCACGAAATTTTGTGTCCCGCCTAGTCAGTTGCCACTATTCATTGGACAAGTGAGCTGCATACGTTTTCTGTCAAAGCATACTTTTCTAATGGCAGTTCCATTATCGCTACTCAACGAGCATTCCGTATTTGGTTCCGTATTCGTCCTTCAAGTTGTGTTCTTGATGAAGCATAGATTGTTACATGGGTTTAGGGCAAGTGGAAGTGTGAATGCAAGAGGGTCTGGAGGTCAGCAAACTGACACAACACCTGAAAACGTAGAGAGTTTCAGAGGCGTTTCTGCGTTCTCCACACCTTGGATCTTCTGAGACAGCATTTTGCAGAGCGCCTCGTCTCTTTGCGAGGCGACCTTCTTCCCCGATTTGGCTCCGTGTGATTTTTTTATGTGGCTACAGTTTTTGGGGGTCAGCCCCTCTAAAGGTCGACGGTCCGGCCGGTATAGTACCAGCACAGGGAACAGAATAAAAACAAACTCAGGAGAACAAAGATGTCCTTTAATAGATCAAACTATTAAAGCACTGGGGACAAAAAGAGAGGATTAATTGAAAACACTTAATAAATCATTCATTTGCCTAAATGCAGCCCCTAACACAGTAAATCAATTGATTACAATGACTGTCCAAGGACTCTCTACCTCATTTAAGAACAACATACGCCAAGCCATCGCTAATATACCCATCAATATGCTTCCGTTCAGTTGAACAGAAATTCAAATAGTGACTAAATTAATTCATTGACAAGGGGGGCCGTCATTTGTCTGATGTAATTTTTGAAACTAAGTGATATATGAAATTCAAGCAATGTCCTTTTCAATACAATTTATATTGGAATGGTATCATTACTGGGTCTTTTTTTATTGAGCGTTCAAATCAGGAAGTGTCCGTGAATTATTCTGTATAAGAGCTATTCAAGCGGTTGTTCCCAATATCATGTCGGAATATCACTTGTATCTTAATTAGTGTTATCTGTAGTGTTACTACCGTGCGGTATTGCAAAACGAGGTCGGAACCAAAGTGATCATTTTTCCATTTTACGTACTACTGTACCTTTACTCGATAAAAAATTGATACTTTGCAATTCTATTCATTACAATTCGAAATGGTATTTAAATGTAGATTATTCATTAAAGTCGTGCTTGAACGTATCTCCAATTATAAATATTACTAGAGCTGAGAACATCACGGGATTCAAGGTAATGGAGTGAGCAGGGGACCATTAACCGTGAGCACCACCGTGCTGATTATTATTATTATTATTATCTCATTTCTATTGCCATTAAAATAAAGACGCTTTTCGCGCCTGCTCAAACCTCCTCCTGCCCTTGCCCTTTTATTGCCCGCTCTATAACAGATCATGTTAATTTCTTATTGAGGTATAATGCTTAAGTAATGCATTCCAATGTCCATAAATATTTAGAAATATGTTAAGAACTGTCATGCATTTTATTGCTAGAGAATTTGACATGCTTGCTTGCTCCCACCCGAGCTCTGGCAACAAGCTTTGGTCTGCTGCTGAGAACCTGTGATGTTTTAAAACATGTTATGCATAAGACTTACATTACATCTATGATATATTAAGACATGTTATGCATAAGACTTACATGACATCTATGACGTATTAAGACATGTTATGCATAAGACTTACATAACATCCATGAAATATTAAGACTTGTTACCACTGCGCAGGCCAGCTCTCCTCCCTGAACGGGCGCGGCACCGGCAGCATGAACACGTCCCTGCGCTACCTCGCCTCCGACAGGAGTTGGGTTGAAGTTGAAGTTGGCGTTGGCTCAGGCTGCTCTCTTGCCTTCAAACTCTTCCGTAGACTTTCTGATAGAATTTACTGCAACGCTGCACTACAGGGCAACTTTACGGCCAACGGCATCAGGCTGGGCTCTGTCTTCAGTGAGTTCTTGGCGTGGTTCTGTCTTCAGTGAGTTCTTGGCATGGCTCTGTCTTCAGTGAGTTCTTGGCATGGCTCTGTCTTCAGTGAGTTCTTGGCATGGCTCTGTCTTCAGTGAGTTCTTGGCATGGCTCTGTCTTCAGTGAGTTCTTGGCATGGCTCTGTCTTCAGTGAGTTCTTGGCATGGCTCTGTCTTCAGTGAGTTCTTGGCATGGCTCTGTCTTCAGTGAGTTCTTGGCATGGCTCTGTCTTCAGTGAGTTCTTGGCATGGCTCTGTCTTCAGTGAGTTCTTGGCATGGCTCTGTCTTCAGTGAGTTCTTGGCATGGCTCTGTCTTCAGTGAGTTCTTGGCATGGCTCTGTCTTCAGTGAGTTCTTGGCATGGCTCTGTCTTCAGTGAGTTCTTGGCATGGCTCTGTCTTCAGTGAGTTCTTGGCATGGCTCTGTCTTCAGTGAGTTCNGTTGATAGCTGCAGTGAGGGATCCTTCAGTTGATAGCTGCAGGGAGGGATCCTTCAGTTGATAGCTGCAGGGAGGGATCCTTCAGTTGATGCAGTTCCTACTGTTCTCTCCTTGAGCTCATCTGCTACGCGGCTTTGTGGGAATCAGGAAACGGTTTTTGTTAGACTTGCTGCTGAACTAACTTTAGATAGCCTATATTTTTCAACTGTTGAAGTCTTGATTAAAATACATTCATATCTTGTCTCTACAGACCAAATTTTATTTTAAAAAACTCGTATTAACTTTCCTTTTTAATAATCTATCACGATTTTTGTACAAAATAAGATGATAATGCTTTTAAGATCCAAATTCAAACAAAGATTATTTTTCCACTGTTGGTGCACTGTTAAGTTATGTTAGACAATCACGATAAATGTCTACAACTAATAAGACTAAGTCTACTAGGTGTATCAATATTATTATATTCTGAATAATATCATCTGACCAATATCACTTAATAATATTCATAATAATATTGTTTGCAGCACTGGCCAGTCAGCTGGACAAGTCGACAACAGGCTACCTCACCTGGAAGCTGGGCCTGAACTCATTCGGAGGCATGGTGGAGTACAGCGCAGAGAAGCGCGTCACGCAGCACACCTTCCTCTCCTCCACCGTCTGCATAGGCGGGCCCCTGGGCGTCCATCTCAAGCTTAGGTGCTCTGCCTTCCTTGTCTTTCTTATAACTGCTTATCATTATTATTATTATTATTAGTAGTAGTACGTATATGTGTATATAAATATCTTAACTTCATCAATGTATCAACATAAGTGAGTTCTTGGCATAACATAAGTTCTTCTAACTGGCCTTGACTGTCTCCGATGAAGAAGCTTTACTTGATGTTTTTCTTTCTTTGGAGCTCCAGTTCATGTTTAGATTCATGAAGAAATTTAAAAGAATATATGTTATTTGTATCAACTTTTGGATGTGTAAACTTATCAACTGGTGTAGGCAGGAAACTCCCGCTATGTTGTATTGACGCAACTTTTGTGTTAATAGTATCGCAAGACATAATAACTTTACCGATTCTGCAGTACTATTATCTTCACCAAGTCTGCAGAACTACCGGTATCTTAAGAAAAGGCCGATAGAGCAGGAAGATGTTGATGAAAAATAATTGGTGCAGTCTTTTTTGCGGCCCGAACAAATATGCTGCATTAACTTTGATTGTTATCTTGTAATTTACTTGAATTTATTCCCTTGTACACACCACCAGATGCCACACAGACCTACACAAACATGATTGACTCACGTCCTGTATACTCCACCAGATGCCTCACAGACCTACACAAACATTGACTCACGTCCTGTATACTCCACCAGATGCCGGCGTGCCACACAGACGTACACAAGCAACATTATCCTGTGTGATGACGTGTTGTTGGCGCCCATCGTGTACGGGACAGCGCTGCCCGTCATCTCGTGGCTGGCGCTGGACTGGCTCGTCCTGCAGCCCTACCAAGCCCACCAGAAGAAGCTGCAGCAAGCCAGGAGGCGCCAGCTCAACAGAGAAAGGTGCATGGGCTATGGAACCCTTCACGTATGCCGATATATTAACAATATTATTTGTACTTATTACTTATCTTTACAAATATATCTTATATTACTTATTACTTACAAATATATCTCAAGATGTAGTACGTCGCCCAGCAGAAGAAGCTGCAGCAAGCAAGGAGGCGCCAGCTCAACAAAGAAAGGTGTTGGGACTATGGGACCCTTCTTGTACGGTTATACATCAACAATGCTATTCGTATCTTACTTACGATGATACATTAACAATATTATTTGTAACTCACTTACGAATATATCTTACGATGTATCTTACTATGATCTTACTTACAAATGATACATTAACAATACTATTTGTATCTTACTTACAAATATATCTTATGATGTAATCTTACTTACGAAAATACATTAATTAATGCTATTCGGATCTTACTCACAAATATATCTTCTGATGTATTTTACTTGCAGTGATACATTAACAATGCTATTCGTATCCAAAAACCTAGTGAGATTAAGCTTCAAAGTTTACATTGTGCGCTAAAATTTTCGCAGTGTTAAGTGTACTGGTTGAACTAAATGGCGGGCCGGTGGAACCCGCATGACCAAGCGTTTGGTAACGATTGTAAATCGTCGCCAGTGTATGTTTTATACTGTAATAATGATGTCTTGCTTTTACAAGGCAATTTATTGTTTTATACTGTCAAGTTTATTATAGAGCAACAAATACCGAAATAAGCATCGCTCGTGCATTTACTTACTACCTGAAAGGCCCTGGCGTGCAAGTAGCTGTGCTCACGACGATGTTTGGGCCACAAGGTTACGTTCCTCTTTGTCAGCAGACACATTTATTGCCATCTATCTATGCTGTTCGTGACTAAATGCTTAGGGATTCAATTATTTTAACCTTGAGTAATTTATTATAGTCTTTATTTATTTATTATAATGATGATAATGTAGCCTGCCACTTGCAGGATGAGCAAGCTGCGGCGGGAGGGGGCGGCGGCGGTGCAGCTCATGAGGGAGACCGTCAAGAGGATCAGGGAGACCGAGGAGAACAAGAAGGGTCTTGTTATCACCAGGTCTGTTATCCTGCACCAGAAACTTACCTGTAGTGGATCAGACTTACCTGTAGTGGGTCAAACTTAACCTGTAGTGGGTCAAACATCTCTTTATTAATATAATTTTGTTGTCATTTAACATTCATTGTGCACTTTAATTCACATGATAAGTTAGCTGTGCACTGTACCCCCACTAATGTACACTGTACCCGCAGGCTGGGCACATTCGGAGGCATGGTGGAGTACAGCGCAGAGAAGCGCGTCACGCAGCACACGTTCCTCTCCTCCACCGTCTGTATAGGCGGGCCCCTGGGCGTCCATCTCAAGCTTAGGTGCTCTGCCAGCCTCGTCTTTCTTATATATGCCTGTCTCTTATACACATCTAGATGTGTATAAGAGACAGGTTCCAATGTTCCAACCATCAAAATCATCCATTTCTTACTGCAATTTTCAAAAGTTATCCTTGAGGAATTGATATAATATGAAAATTCAAGCCCTGAACATCGAATAGTATTGACGAATACACTTCTTGCAAAACAATGTACCTAGAAAAGAATAGGTAGATAACTTGTAAGCCTCGGTATCCGAAGTCAAACTCATTGCAGTGATTATTACATTGATTATTAAATTATAGCATTGATTATTAAATTAAATAGGTATAGAAAAATCGAGAAGACTTGTTCATATAGTGGATAGCTTGACAGATAGGGCTTAGAAATTCAAATGCAGTTTCATTCAACCTGTCTCTTATACACATCTAGATGTGTATAAGAGACAGCANAGGTCTGTTATCCTGCACCAGGTCTGTTATCCTGCACCAGGTCTGTTATCCTGCACCAGGTCTGTTATCCTGCACCAGGTCTGTTATCCTGCACCAGGTCTGTTATCCTGCACCAGGTCTGTTATCCTGCACCAGGTCTGTTATCCTGCACCAGGTCTGTTATCCTGCACCAGGTCTGTTATCCTGCACCAGGTCTGTTATCCTGCACCAGGTCTGTTATCCTGCACCAGGTCTGTTATCCTGCACCAGGTCTGTTATCCTGCACCAGGTCTGTTATCCTGCACCAGGTCTGTTATCCTGCACCAGGTCTGTTATCCTGCACCAGGTCTGTTATCCTGCACCAGGTCTGTTATCCTGCACCAGGTCTGTTATCCTGCACCAGGTCTGTTATCCTGCACCAGGTCTGTTATCCTGCACCAGGTCTGTTATCCTGCACCAGGTCTGTTATCCTGCACCAGGTCTGTTATCCTGCACCAGGTCTGTTATCCTGCACCAGGTCTGTTATCCTGCACCAGGTCTGTTATCCTGCACCAGGTCTGTTATCCTGCACCAGGTCTGTTATCCTGCACCAGGTCTGTTATCCTGCACCAGGTCTGTTATCCTGCACCAGGTCTGTTATCCTGCACCAGGTCTGTTATCCTGCACCAGGTCTGTTATCCTGCACCAGGTCTGTTATCCTGCACCAGGTCTGTTATCCTGCACCAGGTCTGTTATCCTGCACCAGGTCTGTTATCCTGCACCAGGTCTGTTATCCTGCACCAGGTCTGTTATCCTGCACCTTATCTTCTTGTTTATCATCTCTCCTGTATTTATTCTACCCTCTACTTCTCGTCTACGCAACTTCTACTCACGTGTCTACTCGCTTCTCCTTCAAACTTTGATCGTTTCGCTGTGTTACTCTACCATCTTTATGATAGCATTGGTGGAGCCTGATCAGCAGTTATTGTTTTTATTTACTTAATTTTGTTGTAATTTGTCTTTTTGGTATTACTGCTCAAAAACAAGTTTCTGCTAAAAAATTTGATCATTACTGTTTGATCACTGAAGTGAGTGACAGAGAGCGCATTTTCTCACAACGGGCACAATAGCGTCTTTTTTCCATAAATGAGAAAATGCACTAACAAATTTCTGCTAAAAATAAGTTTCTGCTCAAAAACTGTTCAATTTTAACTAGTTTCTATCGAGATTTTCTGGTAAGCTTTTGCTGTTCTAATATGAAGCCTTCGCTGTGCCTGAACATTGCCTTCTTCGCTCAGGCATCCTTTGCAATGCTTCTCTTTATGATTTGAATTATGGCAGGGGAATTAATGTATCCTTCAGAGCAATATAAGGGCTGTCTCTTATACACATCTAGATGTGTATAAGAGACAGTTATTACTGTATTCAATTTGTGAAAATTGAACTTTCACTGCAATAAAAATTATATAAGGGAAAATCATACTTTTCTCTGATATTTTGTGGGAAAATCTTGTATCAACATGAACATGATTTACAAAATTGCTATAATTTATTTATTCATTTCTTGAATAGATTGATGAGTTGATATGTAAAATCTTGGATAACTTAAAAAAATCATCACTAGGATGATTCATAAGTGTTCGCATGATTAAAGCTGTCTCTTATACACATCTATTTGAGCTAGATTTCATTAAATCCATATCTTATTTGTAAAATGTAATGTTATTGACAGTGTCAGCTCCCCGGTTTCTTCGACCCGTGCCCCGGGGAGAACAAGAGCCTCTACGTCGAGTATTTGTTCCACGCCGTGCAGCACAAAGTCATTATCAGGGATACGGAGCCTCTCAAGATACCTAAACAATGTGAGTCATGCTCCTTCTCGTTATATTGATATGACTTCATATATATTTAATTGTGGTGCTACAGTTGAACCTACTTAAATTCTAATTATATTGATAGCACTTGTATTTCATTTCAATTTTACTATCAATAATCTAAGGAATGACATCATTGAAATTCTATATCACAATCACACCATTGAAATTTCATTGAAATTGATCAAATGAATTCTTATTGTCATGACTCAAACTAATTTCCATTGAAATAACATCATTGTAGGTCTATTTTGCTGCTACAGTACAATTCTATTGAAAGGCACAATTGGATTTTATGGAACTAGGCTTTACGATTGCATTACACGAGACCAATAATTGATGAACATGTCATTCGGACCGTGTTGCTGTGTAACACGTAAGTATGAGTAAACTATGAACGTATTTACTTTCGTTACATTTCCATGATGCCAAGAAAAAGTGAGTGATGTGCTTATGTGCAGATTGCATTCTGAAGGATTGAAGTATTGATGTTGTTCTTTTCTGTCGAAGTTATGCCCTTCGAAACTAGACAGCAAGTTGGTATTGTGGATTGAACGCTCTGAGTGCCGTGTCGCGGTCAAACTTGCTTTGTTGGAATCTTGAGTACTTTAATCTGAATATTTGAGACTCTTCTCCTGTTTTTCTGAGCAGCCCATCGGGTGCAGAGCTAGTGCAGCGCTCGGTCTCCAGAGCTATTTCAGACCTCGGTTCCCAGAGCTAGTCCGGCGCTCGGTGTGTAGAGAAAGTGCTGAGTTTGCAGTGGAGAGGTTGTCCAGCGCTCGGTGTGCAGAGCTAGTGCAGAGTGTTGTGTACAGAGGTGTATGTGGTGAGCAATGCACCGAGCGCATCCAAGAAATTGCAGAGTAAAGAAGCAAGAGGAAGCCCTGCTTAAATTTTCGATATTACGAGCGCTGAATTATGCTCATTTTGTATGCCATTCAACATATTGTTTGAAGACTCAGGTGTGCAGGAATATTGTGTTTACGACAGCGCGATGACTTGTTAAGTGATACTCTGCAAACGCTCGGTGTGTTTTATGATATAGCAGAAAGCAATCGATGATGGCAATTTTTATTTCATGGTTGCAATTTGCAGAATGGCTTTCATCGATCTACGCATGGCTGCTGGTACACTTGTACTAATGACCTGTAAAGTGTTGCTGTAGGCCCAGTTAGATTTAAAAAAGGACATTGCTGATCGATTTACAAAACCGACAGTCAAGTTTATTTTCGGCGTCGTTCGGAAGATTATGCTAGGACGGTGGATGTTGCTAGGATCTCGCAGTACTAGGACGGCGGATCTTGCTAGGATCTCGCAGTGCTAGGACGGCAGATCTTGCTAGGATCTCGCAGTGCTAGGACGACAGATCTTGCTAGGATCTCTCAGTGCTAGGACGGCAGATCTTGCTAGGATCACGCAGTGCTAGGACGGCAGATCTTGCTAGGATCTCGCGTTGCTAGGACGGCGGATCTTGCTAGGATCTCGCCTTGCTAGGACGGTGCCAATGTTCAGTGTACAGAAGGCGCGTCAGCCGCCCACTACGAAGCTGTCATAGTGATTCCAGATATACTGGTTAGATTGCTTATTTTGCGTCTTTCTATTGTACAGACATGTCTTAAATCCTTCAATAAAGCGATTTTTTGTTCTTGCTGATTATTTCCCTATTCGTGTTTCTTTTCTTCCCTATTGGTTTTGCGGGAAATTAACATATTTTTGCGAATTGTATAGCGGTCATTGGATCATCATGTTTATTTTTTTCGAGAATAACATCGCCAAATGTATCAAGAAATCGTATGGCTTGCGTCTAAATAACAAACCAGACATTAACACCACTAAGCTGTGGCACATACTTTTTGTTTCGTGATTATTGGATTTTCGACTACTCGTCCATGCAGCCTCACGACTGTAGGGGAATTTGGTGAAGCTGCTGCCACACCAAGTGTGGACACTTGAAGAAGATCCACAGCACTGCAAGCGTTGCAGCAATAGCTAATGATAAATATTAAAGTAAGGAGGTATATTTCAGTAACCTCAGTCGGGGTATATTTTGCTACGGGCATACAGGGGTCAATATATTTCCAAACGCATAATGAAGATAATAAAACAAGTGCTACTCTACTATACTGAAAGTGGTACGGTTAACATGCAAATGAGCTAATATAATCCAGTATCTAGAGGTTGCCCTACCTTGTGCCACATACGAGAACCAGTCACAGGTGTGGGTCCAGCCTGGACGGCTCAACATGGAGCCTTTTTAGGCCTAGTACAAGTAATATTTAGTGTACGTATGCAAACATGATGGATCTCTTATGGGCAGAATTATGGTAGAGCAAAAGGGTAATGAGTACTCAAGACAGAGACAAATAAATGCACCCTTCACATATGCAGTCATTACAGTAGGCAATTGATTTGCGCAGAGTGCCTCTACTTGAGGTCCCGGATGTACCAGTGACTGCATTTATTGAAGATTTGATATACAGTTAGTTCCACAGAGTGATATTCACAGTTAGAGGCCGATACTTTACAAAAAGATCAAATAATCATTAAAGTGACGTACGTTGCTGGTTGCATATGCAGATTCAAGATCTCCAAATTTTTCATTCAAGTATTTATATGAAGGGGAACAATAAATTGTCCCGCTATTGCTCAATCTAATATAATCATTTCCATGAAAAACATAGATTCGATTGAAATAGATATATATAATAGATTTGATTTAAATAGATTTGAATTTAATAACCGGTGCAAGTTTAAATACACCGTCATATCTCAACATTTACAATATTCTATTCTTTATTTACCTTCAGATGATAAATTTTTTACCAATTTGAACAGATTCTGCCTGTTGAATGTTTATTAGAAAATCAAAGTTTAATTTGGTTGAATATTTTATGAGTATTACCTTTGATGATTAATATTATATTGCGTTGAATTGAATTTTGTCTTTTTCATTTGCTCATTTTCAGATTTCGAGTTTGTAAATGAATTGTTTCACTTCGAAAATATTCCGCATTCCACCAATCAGGATTTCTTTAGGGATTCTATCGTTAGCGTGTGACTGTGTGATTGAACGTTTGTATCGTCAGAATTATTAGGTATCAGTTGCAAACTTTGGAAAGTTATACTACTCAACTACTGTTTTAGTAATCTGGTAAGCTTAGTGAAGTAATTTATTGTCTCAATTAACTAATTTTTGTCTTTTAGCCTAACGCTTTAGCTACAGTATGTCGGTAATAAGTTTGGAAGCACAACTTCACAAGCTCCTAACTTTAATAAGTTAGGTAAAGTCACATAGTTTGAGACTTGATGAGTCGATTCAAAATGGAAAACTTGTGTATGAAATGACATACAAAAGTCTATTGCCATGAGCCAAAATCTTGTGACTAACTTTTAGGTTTATTTCCACCAAATCATTTTTGAAAGTTAGAGGCTTAGAGCTGAATTTTAGACACTTTTAAACATGGTGAAAAAGAATTGTACCTGATTGAAAAACAGTTTCAATTTTGAGTAGTTTTGAGATTTCACTATTATTAAACCCTGTGACCTCAGGTCAGTTACACGACCCTGTGACCTCAGGTCAGTGCATTAACTACATATAATTTAGTGGTTATGTAGGCGGAGAAGCTGTAGGGTTAAGTCATTATGTAGGTACTTTTTATATGCAAAGCAAAGTATTAGTATACCAGAAATGTAAGTGGATAATTAAATAGCATTATTATGTAAGCACAGCAAAGTGTTAGTATACCAGAAATGTAAGTGAATAATTAAATAGTATTATTATGTAAGCAGAGCAAAGTATAAGTATAATATTAATCTAAATGAATAATTAAATAGCATTGCACTAACGCCGCTGTGCCTGCAGAGATGTGGTGGGGCTCCCGCATGTGGAGGTGAGCGGCATGGCGCTCAGCCAGAGCATCGACCTGCCCATCACACGCACGCTCTCCTCCACGCTCAGCGGTGAGCATCTGCACCATATTGTATATTGTGTGTTGCTCCATTGTGTGTCGTGTATATGTCTTATAAATTATGTGTTCCTCAATTATATAATATGTATATTGATGGTTTGTCTGCGTAAGTGTGTGTGGGTGCGTAGGATGCTTGGCGACCATAATTATACAGTGTGATTCACGGAAACTTCCTGTTTAGTATTTCGCGCCAAACACTCAAGTGTTGCAGGAAAAAGGCGGGGAGTATTTCTTATGAAAGGCAAGGGGATGAACTTTTGTGTCGCTCCTAGTGAGTTGCCACTATGCATTGGACAAATGCGCAGCGTGCGTTTGCTGTCAAGACGTACTTTCTAATGGCCATTCCAGTATCGCTCTTAATGAGCATTCCGCACTCGTTTCCACATTCGTCCTTCAACTTGGATTCTTGATCAGAAATCGACTTCTGAGGGTGAACACATTTAGGGCAAGTGGAAGAGTGAATGCAAGAGAGTCTGGAGGTCAGCGTACTGCCACAACACCCAAAAACGTAGAGACAGCTGGAGAGACGTTTCTCCGTTCTCCACACTTTTTGTGACAACATTTTACAGAGCGCCTCGTCTCCTTGAGAGGTGACCTCATTTCGGTCAGCTTGATCCCCCGATTTGGCTCCGTGTGTTTTTTAGGAAGTTATCTTTGATCAATTGTTTACAATGACTGTCCAAGGATTCTACCTCATTTGAAGAACATCCGCCAAGCCATCGCCAACATACCCGTCAATATGCTTCAGCCAGTTGAGCGGAACTTCAGAAATCGACTAAATGAATGCATTAACAATGGGGGCAGTCATTTGTCCGATGTCATCTTTAAAACTAAGTGATACAAAAAAGTCAGGTAGTCTTTTTAAATGAAATTTATATTGTAATGATATCCTTACTAAGTCTTTTTTTTTTTTATTTAGTGTTCAAATCAGGAAGTTTCCTTGAATCACCCTGTATAAGAGCTGTCTCTTATACACATCTAGATGTGTATAAGAGACAGGNCCGGTCTGCTGCTGAGAACCTGTGATGTTTCCGGTCTGCTGCTGAGAACCTGTGATGTTTCCGGTCTGCTGCTGAGAACCTGTGATGTTTCCGGTCTGCTGCTGAGAACCTGTGATGTTTCCGGTCTGCTGCTGAGAACCTGTGATGTTTCCGGTCTGCTGCTGAGAACCTGTGATGTTTCCGGTCTGCTGCTGAGAACCTGTGATGTTTCCGGTCTGCTGCTGAGAACCTGTGATGTTTCCGGTCTGCTGCTGAGAACCTGTGATGTTTCCGGTCTGCTGCTGAGAACCTGTGATGTTTCCGGTCTGCTGCTGAGAACCTGTGATGTTTCCGGTCTGCTGCTGAGAACCTGTGATGTTTCCGGTCTGCTGCTGAGAACCTGTGATGTTTCTGGTCTGCTACTGAGAACCTGTGATGTTTTAAGACATGTTATGCATAAGACTAAAGACTTACATTACATCCATGATATTTCAAGACATGTTATCTATTATTACATTACATCTATTGTTATAATATTTATTAAATCTATTATTTCATTATATCATCTATTGGTTTATTACATCTATGATATTTCAAGATATGTTATGCATAAAACTTAAGACTTACGTACATTACATCTATGACATATTAAGACATGTTATCACTGCGCAGGCCAGCTCTCCTCCCTGAACGGCCGGGGCACGGGCAGCATGAACACGTCCCTGCGCTACCTCGCCTCCGACAGGAGTTGGGTTGAAGGTTGTTCCCAATATCATGTCGGAATATCACTTGTATCTTAATTAGTGTTATCTGTAGTGTTACTATCGTGCGGTATTGCAAAACGAGGTCGGAATAAGAGTTAATTTTTCCATTTGACGTACTACCATTACTCAATAAAAAATTTACACTTCGCAATTGTATTCATTACAATTCGAAATGGTATTTAAATGTAGATTATTCATTAAAGGCGTTTTTGAACGTATCTCCCTTTATAAATATTACTGTAGTTGGAATTAGCGCGGGATTCAAGGTAATGGAGTGAGCAGGGGACCAATAACCGTGAGCACCACCGGGCTGATTATTATTATTATTATATTATCTCATTTCTATTGTTATTAAAATAAAACAGCTTTTCACACCTGCTCAAACCTCCCCCTGCCCTTGCCCTTTTATTGCCCGCTCTATAACAGATCATGTTAATTTCTTATTGAGGTATAATGCTTAACTAATGTATTCCAATGTCCTTAAATATTTAGAAATATGTCCAGAACTGTCAAGAGTGTGATCGCGTCTTTCCAATGAATGTCTCAAGTTACAATGAGTGTCTGAAGTGTTAATTTGACATGCATTTTATTGCTAGAGAATTTGACATGCTTGCTTGCTCCCACCCGAGCTCTGGCAACAAGCTTTGGTCTGCTGCTGAGAACCTGTGATGTGTCCGGTCTGCTGCTGAGAACCTGTGATGTTTCCGGTCTGCTACTGGGAACCTGTGATGTTTCCGGTCTGCTACTGAGAACCTGTGATGTTTCCGGTCTGCTACTGGGAACTTGTGATGTTTCCGGTCTGCTACTGAGAACCTGTGATGTTTCCGGTCTGCTGCTGGGAACTTGTGATGTTTCCGGTCTGCTACTGAGAACCTGTGATGTTTCCGGTCTGCTGCTGAGAACCTGTGATGTTTCCGGTCTGCTGCTGAGAACCTGTGATGTTTCCGGTCTGCTGCTGAGAACCTGTGATGTTTCCGGTCTGCTGCTGAGAACCTGTGATGTTTCCGGTCTGCTGCTGAGAACCTGTGATGTTTCCGGTCTGCTGCTGAGAACCTGTGATGTTTCCGGTCTGCTGCTGAGAACCTGTGATGTTTCCGGTCTGCTGCTGAGAACCTGTGATGTTTCCGGTCTGCTGCTGAGAACCTGTGATGTTTCCGGTCTGCTGCTGAGAACCTGTGATGTTTCCGGTCTGCTGCTGAGAACCTGTGATGTTTCCGGTCTGCTGCTGAGAACCTGTGATGTTTCCGGTCTGCTGCTGAGAACCTGTGATGTTTCCGGTCTGCTGCTGAGAACCTGTGATGTTTCCGGTCTGCTGCTGAGAACCTGTGATGTTTCCGGTCTGCTGCTGAGAACCTGTGATGNTGAGGGATCCTTCAGTTGATAGCTGCAGTGAGGGATCCTTCAGTTGATAGCTGCAGTGAGGGATCCTTCAGTTGATAGCTGCAGTGAGGGATCCTTCAGTTGATAGCTGCAGTGAGGGATCCTTCAGTTGATAGCTGCAGTGAGGGATCCTTCAGTTGATAGCTGCAGTGAGGGATCCTTCAGTTGATAGCTGCAGTGAGGGATCCTTCAGTTGATAGCTGCAGTGAGGGATCCTTCAGTTGATAGCTGCAGTGAGGGATCCTTCAGTTGATAGCTGCAGTGAGGGATCCTTCAGTTGATAGCTGCAGGGAGGGATCCTTCAGTTGATAGCTGCAGGGAGGGATCCTTCAGTTGATGCAGTTCCTACTGTTCTCTCCTTGAGCTCATCTGCTACGCGGCTTTGTGGGAATCAGGAAACGGTTTTTGTTAGACTTGCTGCTGAACTAACTTTAGATAGCCTATATTTTTCAACTGTTGAAGTCTTGATTAAAATACATTCATATCTTGTCTCTACAGACCAAATTTTATTTTAAAAAACTCGTATTAACTTTCCTTTTTAATAATCTATCACGATTTTTGTACAAAATAAGATGATAATGCTTTTAAGATCCAAATTCAAACAAAGATTATTTTTCCACTGTTGGTGCACTGTTAAGTTATGTTAGACAATCACGATAAATGTCTACAACTAATAAGACTAAGTCTACTAGGTGTATCAATATTATTATATTCTGAATAATATCATCTGACCAATATCACTTAATAATATTCATAATAATATTGTTTGCAGCACTGGCCAGTCAGCTGGACAAGTCGACAACAGGCTACCTCACCTGGAAGCTGGGCCTGAACTCTGGCTTGAGTACGATGATCATCAACGACACAGAGCGCCACCACCGCGTCCTGTCCTGGCACTTCGGTCTGCCTCACAGCTACGTGTCTCTCTCTTATACGCACAAGCTACAGCAGCCTGACTACAAGTTCAAACTTAACCTCAAGTATGTTGTGATTTGACCTCAAGTATGTTGAAATTTGACCTTGAGTATGTTCAAACTTTACCTCAAGTATGTTTAAACTTAACCTTAATTGGGTCAAACTTACTCAAGTATGTTGTGATTTGACCTCGAGTACCCCTCAAGGGGGACTTCTGACGCGTGTCTGTGCTCGTCAGAAGTGCTATGGGATTTCGCGCTCCTACGGGGATTGTTCCTGAGCACCCCACCGCTGAGCTCGCGGTGTCTGACGGCAGATCTCAGTTGTGGGGTTAAGTTATTATGTAGGTAGGATTCCTTACATTTCCCTTCTCTGTCTCTCTCGTGCGGGCGGCCGACGTCCCGTGTAAGCGACCTCTTGTTCGAGTGTCTCAGTTTCTGTTGCTCTTCACCTGTCCCTCCTTGTCATTTCGTCTCTTTGAGATGCTAACGCTGCTTCTTTCGAGCCAGCTTCAGCGGGCTGGACATCTGAGACCTTCCACCCTTTGTGGGTGATGTTCTATTTTTGACTTGATAAACTTTTGATAATTGAGACCTCCCACCTCTTTGGTGATGTTCAACATGACTTTCGATGCGAGATAGCTAAATAGCTGAAGCGCTAGGAAACACGTGGCCACTAAACTAACTAACTGACCTCGAGTATGTTTAATCTTGACATCAAGTGGGTCACACTTGACCACAAGTATGTTCAAATTTAGTCTCGTGTATGTTTGAACTTGACCTGTAGTGGGTCAAACTTAACCTCTAGTGGATCAAACTTGACCTGTAGTGGTCAAACTTAACCATTAGTGGATCAAACTTAGCCTCAAGTATGTTTAAACTTAACCTCAAGTATAGATTCAAATTTTGCATCTCTTTACCAATGTAATTTTATCATCATTTAATGATCACTGTACACTATAATTCACATGATAAGTCAGCTGTGCACTGTACCCCCACTAATGTACACTGTACCCGCAGGCTGCGCACCTTTGGAGGCATGGTGGAGTACAGCGCTGTTCACTGTGCACTGTACCCCCACTAATGTAC